CAATAATATGCATTACCACAGGTGGCCCATGTATGCGATCGCTGATCGTCTATTGTTGAAATTTAAAATGGCTGTCAATTCGATTTTTAAAAAGTTCTTTTTTATCTTCGACTCGTTCTTTTTTGTCGAGTTGACTTAATGAACTCTTCACAGCATATCGCAAAGCATCGACTTGGATGATTGCTGTATCACGTTTTCCGAGTTCGCCCAACAATAATCCTAAAATTATTTAACGTTTTATATGGACCGCGGAGCAGGGCGGGTGGGGGGCTACAGCCCCCCCAATAATTTTTCCGACATTTTGAAATTTCTTAAATAAAGAAGAGAAGAGCCTCCTTATGAAATTTTACCATATATATTCTATAAAAATTGTGTAAACACTGAGCGTAAATAATTAAAATTGAAGCATTTTTGCGAAGTCTTTGTGATTTATTGATAATATCGCTGACCGTGATTGCGGTAAAAATTGATAACGCCTCAAAACGCTGGAAATGACATATCCGAGAGTTAAGATTTAAAAAATTTCCGAACCCCCCTAATACCTCCTCGCCGCTAGCCCCTCCAAACAAATTCACGCTCCGCGGTCCCTGTTTTAGCCACCTGAGGATGATTGCTACCGTAAGTGCTTTCTTCGATTGCAAGTGCTTTTTAACTCGGAGATTGCGTAAGCAATCGAAGAGTTATTGGAGGGGGACGATGTGTGTCACTCACTCACTCACTTTCCTGTAAACTCGGTTGCCTTAGCAACTGCTATATTTTGACTTGTTAATTAGTTGAAATTTATCTTCACGGTCTACCTGTTTCTTTTTCTTTTTTCTTTTTGAACCGAAAGAAATTCATGTACCCGACGTGGCTCGAACCCCCGACCTTCCCCGCCAACGGCAGAGACATTACCACTAGACCATGTGCCCGTTAGTTATTACGTCATGACTTTTTTACAACGTTTTATACGACACCAGATCAAACGACGGGTTTCCTGTGTCATAATCGATAAAACTATTTGCTTCTAAGAAGGAAAATATATTTAAAATTCTATTATTTTGCGTAAATTGTGCAAATTTAAAGAAGGTTTTAAACTTTTTCCGCTTCAAGTGTGTGTCAACAGTTAGAAAGAGTCAGGGAAAACGTACTTGAAGCTGAAAACGTACTTGAAGGCTTCGATTTCGAGTAAATTGTTGTTGATGTACTTCGGCCGAACTTTAACAGAACCTTAAGCTTTACATAGAATAATTAGTATTAACTAACAAGATAAAGTTAGTGCAAAACTTGAGTAGCTAATGCCTTCATGTATTGAAAGAACAAGTGTATTGGTAAAATTTTTCATAACATTGTTTTGAGCTCCGTTGTTGAAGTATGAAATCTGTGAAATCAACATGCTCTTGATTTGCAGTTTTACAGAATTATTCCAGTGCTTTTCTTCCGATTACTGTTTTAGCAACATAAGCTTATTTAATGATAGTTCAGAGAGGAGAGAGACATCGAAATTTATCGCCGATCGCCCGGTATTCTTCTACATCGGAGCACTTATTWGCTTACTTATAAGTTATTCGTTCTMAAYATGCAAGGCGGTTTTATAGTAAATTTCTCCACTTTGATAGCTGACCTGAAGGTCCAATGCGGATATTCACAACCATTTCCTTGAAATCTTATTTTAAATGTTAAATTGCATTTTTCCAAATACTTTTCTGATCATATTGTTCTGATTTTTTTTGATCATCTATTACATGTTTTTGTTAATAAATAACCTATCTAATTTGTTAATAACATGCTCAAAATACATCTGACCATCTTGCAAAAGCAGCTCTCGCAATCTCCGAGTTGTGTTGCCATTGGCAGCTTGATTCGTAACATTCTTTTGCTGCATCAAGTTTTCCGAGTTCGCCAAACACTAATCCTAAATTATTTATCATTTATAGCTACCTCAGGATGATTGCTGCCGTAAGTGCTTTCTTTAAATGCCAGTGCTTTATCGTAACAATCCTTCGGTTCATCAAGTTTTTAGAGTTTGTCCAACACTAATCCTAAATGATTTAACGTTCTAGCCACGTAAGGATGATTGCTGCCGTAAATGCTTTCGTTAATTACCAGTGCTTTTTCGCAACATTCTGTCGCTTCATCAAGTTTTTCGAGTTTGTCCAACACTGATCCTAAATCATTTAACGCTGTAGCCACCTCAGGGATGATTGCTGCCGTAAGTGCTTTCGTTAATTGCCAGTGCTTTATCGTAACAATCTTTCGCTTTGTCAAGTTTTTCGAGTTTGTCCAAAACTAATCCTAAATCATTTAACGTTCTAGCCACGTCAGGATGATTGCTGCCGTAAGTGCTTTCGTTAATTGCCAGTGCTTTTTCGAGACATTCTTTCGCTTCATCAAGTTTTTCGAGTTTGTCCAAAACTAATCCTAAATTATTTAACGTTGTAGCCACCTCAGGATGATTGCTGCCGTAAGTGCTTTCGTCAATTGCCAGTGCTTTTTCGAGACATTCTTTCGCTTCATCAAGTTTTTCGAGTTTGTCCAAAACTAATCCTAAATTATTTAACGTTGTAGCCACCTCAGGATGATTGCTGCCGTAAGTGCTTTCGTCAATTGCCAGTGCTTTTTCGAGACATT